CAACGTCTGGGGCACCTCCGACCTTATAAATAGCAGGAGGAATTAGTAGCCAATTTACTATATGTAAAGAAAGGGCAGGGAAGGGGGCGGGCGAAGAAAATGTCTAATTGCTGTGGAAGCCATGAGATTTCGGGAAGGAAAAAAGCTCACTGAAAAACCCAGTTGCAAACTCAAAATGAAACAGTCCCGCGGAGCGGACGACGCTCGGGCTGATACAGTGTCGGTCCCCTCTTGGTTTTAGTCAAGCTGGACTTCCCGCGCAAGCTTCGAGTCGCTCTGCAGAAACACACGGGCTTGCGTTTCGAGACCCCATAAAGGAAACGGCCAGGTTCGCCCCCGCCACCTTAGAGCAGAGCGGAGCGCGCTGCAGGGGCGAGGGCCGAGGGGCGAGGGGCAGGCCAAAGTACCGCTCTGACCCGACAGGCCAGGATCCGGCCGGCCAGGGCTTCCAGCCTCCCGACATCACTAGATAAGTAACCCAGCACGCGCTTTTCCCCACCTCTCTAGGGGGAAGCATCCCCTGCGCCCGGGCTCTCGAAGGCGGGGGCGGGAAGAGGCGGGTGGTCGTGCCGGGCCTCGCCCACCCAGAGCAGAAAGCCTGGGTGGCGCGTCCTCCCGTCTCCGGAGTGAGCAGAGGGCCCTCTCGCCCCTTCCGTCTCCCCCTCCCCCACCCCGGTCTAGCTTTACAGAGACATTCCAGCGGGGAGGGGGCGAGGCGGCTGGGGGGAGAGGTGGCCGGCGCAGGGGAGGGGCGGAGAGGGTCGTGGGCGGATGCCCCCCTTCCCCGCCGCCCTCCTCATTCATGGCTTCCCGCGTGGCAGGCTCGCCCCGTGCGTCCCGCGATCCACTTCCCCTTCCTATGACGGGCTGCTCCCAACGTGAACCTCGCATCGAGTACGTCGCTGGTCGTTTTCAGTCTCCAGCACGTGGGGTGGGGCGTGAGAGGGCGCGGAGGCTGGCTGGCGTCTCTGGGGGAGGCTTGCTGACAAGGGAGTTTTGTCCCTTTCGGTCGCCCCTCCGACCATGTGCCATGTGCTAAAACCTTAATTTCTTGTTAAAAAGCCAGCACGCGGGAAAAGGCACGTTGGCTTCTGGACCAGTGGGCGCATTCTGAGTGCAGACTCAGGTTTGCAGAAAGGGAAGCGCCTGGGCTCGGGCTCGGAAGTCAAAACGGGTCCACGTTGGGGGTGGGGGACGGTGGCGTGTCGGCGGCCCCTTCCACGCGGGACACGTGTGTTACCCCGTCGACTTTCGCAGGCGCAGTTTTATGGACTAATATTCCGGCCGGCTAGCCCTCCACGCCACCCCCACACCCCGCTTTGGCGTTTCGGTTGGAAAGTGTACGGGTCCCCTAGGTGCGGGGCAGCCGGTGTCGGCGTTCATGGCACGTTTCTGCAGGGACCTGCTACGTTAAGCACGCAGACTCCCCAGCTCGCCCGGCGGAAGCTAGCCGGCCAGGTGATCCCAGGGTCTGCTCCCAGTTTGGGAGCCCCGCGGGTTCGAGCCCCGCGCCCGGGCCCAAGGGTGCTCAGGCGGTGAGGCTCGAGAATGGGGCCTTCACCCTCCCTGCAGACCGGCCACGGGGTGCTGCGTGCGCTTCTCCGTGGAGGGATAGTTGGTCAGGCCGTCCACATCGAAAACCCGACGGTTATTTCAAATAAATGGCGAAGTTAGAGGCGGCCCCGGAGAAGGAGTAGACGAGGGAGCCGCGACGTGGGAGTGAGAGGAAGGAGAGGGAGAAGCGGGGAGCTGGAGAGCGGGCGCGCAGGGCGGCGGGGACGGCGGCCAGAGGCTCCCCG